CAATGGAATTGAATGCAGGTTAAAAGTTAATTAAACAAGACTCTCGTGGCTCGCGAGTTGTATAAATCTGTCTTAGTTAAGGTCTCCATAATGAAGTGTCTTTGCAGTAATAATGCCTGTACACCTTTCTCCTTCCCACAGAGCTGCAGTTATACAGAAAAGAACAGGGAACAGTGTGTTGCATTTAGGTGTGGACAGAGTTTGATCAACATGCGTACCATCTTTAAAGCATTAATGCTGGAGCCCCAGTATTTTCTTCATGAAAGCAAAAAGCAGGCAAGCAGAAACAGCGGATGTATGGGCACTGAGTCATGGCACAAGATGTGCCTTGAGGAAAGCACCATACTACAAGTCTGAAATTTGAGCTCTTTTGAATTTCCTGTCCCTGAAACCGCAGGACTTTGATAAGGTCCAGAGATTCCGCTAACTATTTTAAAGCCTTCTGTTATCTGTGAACTGAGCCCACCCAGGTACTTTTACAGGAACAACAGGTCCAGAAAAACAAAGAATGGACCACAGATAAATCCCTTTTACTCATAATTGCAAATGGGACACAAGCAGTTTCTGTATGACCAAGCACAGACAGTCTTCACATACCGCCTGTGTGGTGCATTTCCCCCTTTTTATCCCCTCACACGTGCAATGATTAAGCCAAGAGGAATTTCTGCCTTATATACTTAAAGGGGCAGAGACGTACATTCTCTATTAGTGAACATCATTCTGGCTTTCAGCACGTAAAAATAAGCAGCATTGCAATCCAGCTTATTCTTTGAGTTAAAAGTTAACAGTAGCAAAATAGCTTCAATTTTCAAGAATAGAAATTGGAATTTGGGATATTTTCTTAAATATGTTCAGTGTTTTTCAGAATATTTTTGATGAATAAAGTGTTAATAAAAAAGTATCACAGTGAGCCACATTTGAAACCCAAAATGCATCTTGAAATGCGGACATAAAGAAACAGCTAATTCTTTCTGTGATACTGAAAGTTTTTTTTTTTGTTTGTTTGTTTAGTTTTTTGGTTTCTGAATTCTAAACTGGAACAGCAAACTTTGGGCTTTGGAGCTCATAGCATTAAAGTATCACTTTCAACACAGCCCATCTCACAAGTCCCTTTGCAAGATACGGCCAAAGAATGCTGCTGGGTACTTATCTGGCATATGATCTACTATTCATAGCAATACAACAGATTGCATTAATAAATAAACAACCAATGCTGTCTAAACGTTATCATGTGGCTTTCTTTCCACTACTGCATGCAACAAGAAAGGGTTTTTATTTTCTATTTTTGTTCAAAGACAATGAAGTAACTGAAAGAAAAAAGGAGACAACTTTTTTTTTTTACATTTTGGTCCACAGCTGCAGCCACTATTTGCACATGTCGCACAGCAAAAGTCGTAAAACAGCTAAAGGCCTAGCTCTTTCTTAGCAACAAATCTGTATAACTAGAGATACAGGATGTATATATGACTGTATATACCTCATGGCGATATACAGTCATTCAATAAATTCAAATAAAAATCAGAAGTTCATGTATTTCAGTAACACAGCTCACAAGTAAAACACATTATATCAACTAATTACACGTAGACTGATGTTTTAAAGCTTTTTTTTAAGGCTGATGATTTCTTGCTTGCAGCTATTGAAAACATGACATTTAAGATTAGAATATTACATCAGACCAATAATAATAATAATAAAAAAAACATTCTCAATGCAGAAATGTGGATCTATAATGACAATTATGTTTGATACCTCCTTAAAGGTTGTAATTTTAACAAGGCACTTTTAATCTGACAAATAAACCTCATCGGAACCCGTTTTAATTTACTGAATACGACTCTAGATAAATCAGGAGAACGGAAAAGACAAGAACAAGTCATGGGTCAGGCATGCTGTCTGCTTCCATTGTCTTAAAGTATGTTAATGTGCAAACATGCTGCTTATTGAAAAGAAACGCGTAACATAAGTGGTATTCTTTTGAATGAGATAGCCAGCATACCAAAAGTTAATATTTGATTCCATGAAGAAGAAATGTGAGCTCTGTGAGAACTTGCGAATCAGGGAATGTGTGCCTCCCTGTGGAGCTATGAAGACCAACCAGACCTGAAGCAGGCCAGGCATTTTATTTATTTATTTATTTATTTATTTATTTATTTATTTATTTATTTATTTGCTGTGGGCAACATACAGCCACAGGCCATACACCTTTTAAGCCCTTTGGAAAACATTAAAAGATTCATGGGCCACTCAAACAAGAGCGAGAGAGAGAACATCTCTGACAAGTACACAGTGAAGATATCTGACAGGCGGGGTTGTTAGCAGCCTCTGATAAGCCCTGCGGAAAAGAGTGAGGTGAAAATAGAACAGGAAACACCAGCAGAACCTCTGACAAGGACAATCAGAGATGAGGCTAAGTGAAGTGGAGAGGAGGAAAATGAACAGACACAGTGGGGAGAAGAAACGGCACTGGAGCTAAAGGAGTGGATGTTTCAAAAAGAAGAGGAAAACACAAGCAGGGAAAGATTGTTCTCAACACACAGAACTGCCTTTCACTCATAGACTGCTGTTGAGTCTGTATACTTGACATTTGTCTGACATTTTGCCTTTATGCCCTTCCTCCTGTGTAGAACTTCTCAGAACGGGCCTCTCTTCGCATCACTGCTTGCCTCTAAGAAGTGCCCATTTCTCCAGTCTCCATTTAGCAACACAGCTGACTCCCACACACCTTTATCTAACATTAACCTGGAATATTCCACTCGGCTCCACATTAGCATTAACATTTCCCAATCTGTCTCAATAATGTCTAAAGACCAGAAGAAAATGAATGAAAAAAAACCCTCTTTTTTTTTTAAGCTCTGAAGAGAACTTGAAGCCCCAGAGGCTACTGTAGTTAGCTAGCAGACAGCGCTCCTCCTCATGTAGTGTAATTAAAGAGAAGACCGGGCTGTATTGACTAGAAAACCACTGCATGCCCTTGAAGGAACATCTGTACCGGAGAAAAACAAGGCAATTACACAAAGGGGTAGAGAGGGGAGAAGAGTGCTCTACAGTGGGAAAGTTCCAAGAAAACACATCATACCTTAAAAAAAAAAAAAAAAAAATCCCAACACAAATTCAAACATATTAAAGCACAACCCAGCTTGGTTTTAGCTTCATTCTGTCGCATTATTGTATGAAAAATGCTTCACACTGCATCTATGCCACCCAGCCCTATTTTTTGTAACCAAAGTGTAGCTTCCTGAAAAACGTTATCTGCGGTCTCGATACCTCAGGGCTCTCCAGATGAATGTGTTTACCCTGAACTCAGCCAGGCCCTTTGAGAGAGGCAAGCTGCTCTAAACAATACTCCTGCTCTCAGGTCTGTTGTGTGAGGGAAAAACTCAGCAAAACACCACAAAATCATCAACTGTGCAAAGAATAAAATTGTGTGACTACACCATTCACAATGTGGCAGTCTTTATGAAACTTTTTTTTTTTTTCCTTTAACAAAGGGATTTAAATACTTTCATTTTACAGGGTCAGTTGTGCACGAATTGAGCAGCTGATAACGTTGCGGGAAACTCCCGATAGGTCAACCCGTCCAAGAATAAACACAGACAAACAATAAACGTTGCAGAGAAAGATGTGGTCACAAAGGGAAAGGCGCAGGTTTTATTTCCACTATTTGTTCTGCAGGTTCCCACAGAGACCCCGAGTTTGTTTGTGAATCTAAACTGACCATGGGAGCTGCACACAGGTCTTAAGGACAATAAGAAAAAAGAAAAATATGATTCGAGCCTTTGGTGTCCGAGGCAACTTATTCCCACTATTATTTAACTAGCAGTGCCTTACAAGCACTTATGCACCTTTTGTCAAGTAACAACTACAAACCTCAATGCATTGGGTTTAGGTCAACAATCTTGCCACTCATCTATGGAGGTCAGATCTGTGGAGTGAATAACTGCTGACTGTCCTTTCAACTGCTGTGGCTCTCTGCAGGTGACTAAAACATGTAATTGATTTCACTTGACTTTATTTCAGGGTATTAGAGTAAAAAGGGTTAAACACAATAGAATGTTATCCTTTTCAAATGTTTACTTGTAAATAATTTATCCTTTTAATTCTGAGTGGCAACTACTATACTATCGGATAAGACTCAAATAAAATTCATTGAAGTATGGAGTTGTAGCAAAATAAATTCTAATATGGATTAAAGCATAATAATACTTTTAAAAGTGAATGTAGCTAGGAGAAATAATGAAAGCAGAGTATAATTTTACATAAATATTTTTTTATAACAGAATATCTCTGTATCTTTAAGTTTTGGCACTACATCTCTGTTTTGACTCCACATGTGCTACTCAATGTCAAACCTAACACAGTGTCAAGAGACGTGTGTCCACATTTATCACCTTGTGCAACAAGCAGTTTCAATGTACTTTCACACTTATTCAACAAGTTTTGTTGAACTTAAGGCATAGGTTTTCCTTGCTCGGATGCTATCAGTGTACAAAGCTGTCCATTAATGTTATCTCTATTTGCCTTATTTGCTGTTATATGACCTCCTTCTGAACTACTTTAATGAAAAGTGGCCAACCCCACCACTGGGCTAAAGTTCAACGAGGACAACCCTCCCCCAGATCCTTCAATGAACCCCTTTTTTCACAAATTTCTAAATGTCCCTCTGGCAAATATTTAGCTGACATGCTCCAGACTGCTAGACTACTTCATTTCTTGGCAGAGCTCCTTTAACCTCAACCAAGTATGTCTCCTTAATACCTGGTGCTGTTGTATTGCCGCCATCCTTTCCTTCATAAATAGCCTGATCTAAAAAAAAAAAAGTCTGTGCAATGAACAAAGAGGAAAATGTTTGTACTGTCTGACCAAAACAAAGAACAAAATCTCTACCTAGATTCATTGGATTAAGTGTTGAAGTTGCATGCAATTGTGAAATGTCTGAGAGGCAGTAAACTTCAAAGATCAAAGTCATTCTTTAATTAAAAAAGTGGAAGTTGAATTACCTTTCTGACAATGCTTTGATGTCCAGCAGCGGTAGTCATTGTTGCCTTTGACCAATGTCCTCTGACATGTAGGGTTATCCTCCATTGTGCCAGGGCAGACATCATCGCACTCCTTCGACTCCTTGTTCCCAGTTATAACATTATTAACATTGCTGTCCATGATCAAAGACCAGTCCACCGAGTCAATGAAACAGAGCTCTGGGTTCTTTTCGATCTGCACGGTCCCACGGGTGATGTTCATCAGGTTGTAGAGGCCAATGTCCTTCAGGTTGGTCATCTCATAGATCACCAAAGCGTTTCCATACAAGAGGTTACGGCCCCGAATGACGCTCAAGTTGGGGAAGAGCGTGCTGAGGCTATCCAGGCCAGGGACGCGGAACAACAGCAGATAGTCGGTGATGACGGTCAGCTTCGGGAAGCTGAGGGTGCGGAAGACCTCCTGGTTGATGGTGGTTGTCTTTTCGTTGATTAAAACGATTTGTAGGAAACCTTCCAACACTGTGCAGTTCTCAAGAGCCTGGAATTCACTTATGTAATTCCGGATGTCAATACTCGGGCTACAGACTGAAAGAAAAAAAACAAACAAAAAAAATTAAATAAATAAATACATTTCTGAATTGATAACTGACAGAATTATTTGTAAACTGCAAGCATTCTACACGTGTAGCAAAAAGATAGGGTCCTTATACATAGTTTTATTGCAACAATTAAAATCTCCAAAGTTAACAACTATTTAAAGACAATTTTTGAATTATGGATAGATGGATGAAAGGACAGACAATGAATAATTATTTGGATGGTGAACTAAGAGAAGAATGAGTGGATAATGAGCAATGAGCCAACAGATTGATGGACAGAGGGAAGATAAGATGTGTGGCTGTGGAACAGGATAGGCCATGCAGTTATGGCTTTATTTGTATAAATTATCTGTCTTTCCATCCATTCCAGATCTGGAACATTCTTAAAAAATTCTGCACTTTCCCAGCCTTTGCAGAAACGCTGAATAAAGATAGTAAAAGCCATTTGGCCAGATTTTAAATAAGCATGTATTCATTGACCAAAAATAATAATTTCAATCATCTTCTTGAAGCATATAATCCTTTTACTCAAGATAGTGAACCTGACAGAATGTTTTCTCGCTTTCTGGAAACCTGTGTGCTGCGCTAGGACATCACCTTTCAACACTCTGTTAAAAAAAAAAAGGTTAGTTCATCCTCAGTAATAAGAAACTATTACCAGAGTACAGAAACTCTCACTTATTTTCCCACTGAGATGCACAAATTAACATGTTCAAAACTTCTGTTTTCTCTCACCTCAAACACAATACCTGCGTTTTACAGTAAAATGCTTCGTCTTTCACCTCAGATAACCTCAACGTGTATATGAGCCAATTCTCCGAGCTTGGAAAACAACACTTGAAACCACAGTTCTGGGAGCGCCCACTGACAACATTCACATGAACCTTTTATTATTGATGACAATCAGCTCTGCCAGTAAATGTAACTATGCACCACTACATCAAATGTAAATCTGTAACTTTCACACTTAAATAAACATAATCCTTACCCATAAAACTTAAACTTGTCTCGATCTGCCAGCCAAATTCTAGCTTCAGTTCTGCTGAGGGATGCCAGGTTGTGACATGATCGCTTCTGATGTTACCTTCCAAGCACGCAGCGATGTGTGGACAGGTTTTGACAGAGAAGCAGTGACAAGCTTCATGCCAGAAGTCCCATAATAACAACAACAACTACATAAACGTTTGAGTTATAAATTTAATGCAGCGACATCATGCACTTTCCCAGGCATACCCAGTGATCCACACGTGTTCGCCATATGAAGAGACTTTTCTTTTAATGTTATCTCCAAAAACGCTATGACTACATTAACATAAACAAAAACAGATGACCTACAAATCATTCTAACCTTACATTTAAATTCATAATGGATCAGCATGACTGGTTTATTCACAAATGTGCTTCAAAGCAACCCCAATATTACTGCAAAGAGTGCTTTTTAAAATGCAAAACTTTTCCTTTGTTGAGCGTGGACGATGTGGTATCCAGGATTACAACATATTTACTTGTAAAACTACAGTTTTCTATTGATCAAAGTCCATTTCAAAATATCCTTTCTCCATCTGAGAAGGCGATGGCCTTTCTAGGACTGTTTGTTAGGAGTTTCCCATCATTTCCATAGATTTGCTCAGGAAATGGGCACATTGGTTTCCTGAAAGGTGCAGTAAATAAATATGACACATAGAGGAGAGACAGAGTGTCTTAATGTCAATATTATTACCTTGCTTAGTTACTCAAATGAAACATTTCCAGTAAAGTTGTGTTGTAATTTATTTGAAGTTCTTGTAAATGGTTTCTCATGGCTTATTCAGACTTCTTCTGTGGTTGCCTCCTTTTTGATCTGCTCCATCAGTACGAGCCATTACTGTTTTAGTAATCTTGAATTGTGGTTTCTAGGGAGGCCCATGAACAACTGACTGTAATTAAAACAGTGTCATCTAAACTATTGCTTTGCAATTACTTTGGATAATTCCAAAGTAGAAGGAAAACTACAGGTAGGTTCCAATTATAATTATTTCTTTACATGGAAAAATCTGAAGTGGGTTAATTCAGAGACACTCTCTGAATTACCCACATTTTCCTTTCTGATCAGAATGTTAACTTAGGAAAGGTCACTTTCTGTATTGTTATCTTGCCCCGTTATTAATGAGCATATACTCATCTAAAATGCATCTGCTGTAGTTATGAGATTGTAAAAGGGGTAATTAGATTGAGTAAAAGAACAACAAAAAAATCTTTAACAAACTAAATGTTTTATAAAATATATTCAGATTGCTACCAGAGTAGAAACTGAATACACTTCTTATTACACCTTTTTTTCCGTGCCAGTCTTTATAGAGTGACACATATGTAACAAACTGATATTAGCTGGTTAATCAGTCGGCCTAGATACTCTGGTGGACAGCCCACAGTCAGGTGCTTAGCAAGACGTTTTAAGCTTCCCAGCTGTAGTTTTTTTTATAAGAGGGATGACAGGAGCTTATTTAGTGTCCACACTATGACTGTCCATGTTTTGTGTCACCAGATTTTATTTATTTTTTTTCCAAGCAGCCTGTTATGTTACATGTAAATAAGGGAGAGCATAGCAGCCTTCTTTCAGCCAGCTGGACAGCAGGGCTCAGCACTAGGTAGAAGAGGGAAAATTCTAGCTGAATTTTTTACGAGCTTTGAATTCTTTTAAAACTGTTTTCATATCTTATTTAGAGCAAGCGGCCCATGCCTGTTCTACTCATTAATTGAAGTTTTGTCTTGTTATAAATTGTTGTTCATGTGTTTTTAAAGTGCTTGAATGAAGGAAATAGTACAAAAAGTAGAGCGGTATAAAAAATTAAAAAAAACACAAGACCATAAATTATAAGCGAAAAATTATAAACTAAACCTGGCCTCTGTAACGTTGCTCTTTGATATATGTAGTGTTCCAATAAATGCAGCTTTACCGCCCTTTGTAATGACTAGGAACAAAAACAGCACAGATTTTTAAGTCTAATTTTTAAGTCTTATTTTACATATCGCTATCGCAATTAGAAGAAACATCCAGATGTTAAACATTTTCTGTTGACTTTTTTTTAATGACATTTACCATTTTATCAAAGTATTTTATTATTATAATCATTAACGTTAAATGTTCTATATTATTCCATCTTAATTTTTCACTTTAAATAATCTCCTATATCTTAATCTTCTCTTTTCAAAGTTCTCTCACAACATTTATTCACTTAATGCAAAAACTTTTTTTTTTCCTTATAACTCTTTATTATATTTATTCCAACAACTTTAGTCTGTTAAGCTCAAATGTTGGACATTTAAATTAGTATCGCATTTACCTATCCTTTATTACACAGTAAACAAAACATCATAAGTAGTTTATCTATTAAGTGAAGGTGTGAATAGTACAGAGAACATTGTTAATTGTTGTCTAAAGGGAGGTTTAGTGATTGGTACAGGAAATGCCTTGACATATGAGCTCTTTAGTTAAACCTGTTATGTTCTTACAGAAGCTTAGGAGGCAGCCGTAGTTACACTGCTGCAGTCCCTGTCTTCAAAGTACTTCTCTGATCCTTGTCATACTGCGGAGAAAAGCAGATAACTGAGCTTTTATATAGCCCAAAACGGATGTTGTACCCATGGATTGATTTTTTTTTGCACAACAATTGTAATGGAAGTCCCTCGTGAATTATGCTTCCTGTGGAAATACATGCATTCAATCTGCACATCAAAATCACTGTTTGATGTGCTTTGCTTAAAACTTTTTTTTGCTTAAAAATGGAAGTCACATTGTTTATGAAGGGGATAAATGGGTTATATTTGCCCCTGGTGGGATGTTTCACTTGTCCAAATTTAGAACGGAAACAATTACTCCTGGAGAAAATAGTATTTGCTTTCTCCAATCAACACCAATGCCCCTGGGCTCCACATGTGAGCCATCGAGCTGCATGTCTTCTTTGTTTCATTGAGAATTTTCTTCCAGCTTCTCCAGCAGCCGGGGAGCGAGGGAGGAGGGGTGGAGCCACTCCAATACAAAGGCTAATTTGTTTGTTAGTAAAGAGAAGCTCTGGGCTCCACTTCCTGATGAGGGCATTAATAAAATCAGGGGGCGTCTGGCCAGCGGAAGATAAGATTTCAGCCAAACCAAACTATGGAGAGGCCACACGGGTGCAGAACTCCTGCAAGCAGAAACTGCTACCTTCTGAATGCGTTTCTGCAAGTCGTGAAGACTCTTGAAAAAGCGAGGCTGGAATGGGAATACAAGGGAGAGGAATGACACAGCCTTCCTCTTTGTGACGCTCTTATTCTGCCCATTAGGCATGTTAAGTAGCAGGAATTCCAATCATTTTCTCACACAAAAGCTTGAGAAAGATTTTGCCTCCAACTAAGGCTGCAAGCTTTCCTTACTCCACTTGTAACAACAACAAAAAAACACTTAAATATAATGAAGTTACCATGATTGCGTTACATAAAGACATATTTCAGCAGCCCTGTCCACACAGACTGATATCCTGCACGCATGTGTCTGTCTCTTCCTCCTGGGTCTCTTTGCTCTTCACACTGCTGAGTAAACACACATATCTGCACAGCGTAACGGGATCCATGGGCTCATGTTTATGATTGATAAACCCTGCCCCGAACCTCTTTGGAGATGTCAACACACAAACACAAGCGCACCTGCACCAGCACACACAGGCAAACATGACCCCGCGCACCTCCGTTAAAATTAAACCACGACTCTCAACGGCCAACCCTTGCTGAATCCACAGAACCTGCCCGATTTGTAAATAATAAACTTTATTTCACACTTAGGTGGAAAATATTACTTTCACAACAACGTTTGCTTGTTTAACTATTTTAAGAACTGATCTTGTTATATTTTGTTTATTTTTCAACTACTAAACTGTAATAGTTTATGACATTTATAGTTATGTTTTAGTTGAAAAAGTTTGTTTTTATTTATTTTTTTGTCAAAAACAACATTTCATAAAAGTAGAAATT